GTACTGTTTTTTGTTGAAGAAAAACTGCATGAAAAGTGGAAAGCAAAAAGTTACAAACRTACAAAATGTATTACACTACTGAGAATCCAAGATAAGATTTTCAACTTTTCCTCAGGATTATCGATCTCCTTTCCCTTCCTCTCACCTGTACCACTTTTCTTGGTATTTCCCCCTCATTTCCTCTGTATTCTGCTTACTTTCCCCCTCTGCTGCATCCACTGGGATCTAAACTGCAAATGACCTTGTTTTGCCTCCCTTATCATTGTCTTTGTTTCCAATGTTGTTACATTTTCAGCAACATCTCACAGCAACTCAAGAGACAAGACGATTGGAAAGGAAACAGTGCTTTGAACAGAAGGGGGTGAAATGAAAAAAAAAAGGAGAGTATCTGTTTGATGCCAGAGGATGATTTTAAAACCTCATGTGGATTCAAAAACATATAGAGATGCAGAGAATCCCCCTTTCAACAGGATGAAGCATAAAAACACCACAATAAAAACAGTCTGCTTTATTTTATGCTATCATCTCTCCTACCCTGTACTAGAGTCAGCTTTTATTTATTTTTAATTCTTAACATCATGTAATCTTTTCTTCTTCATGATGAAGATCAGATAGGTGGTGGTGGTGGTGGGGGGGGAGGCATTTACATATAAAGCACATGTGTGCAGAACAGCAATGGAAGAACAGATCTGACTGTTTTACTGCCAAGGGGCATCTGGTAAAGTCTGATGTTTTTGCGTGCAGCCATTTTGAATTTGCTAAATATCAGAACATTTAATCTGTGCTAGTGTCTTGCGAAACAGGAAATGTTTTGATTCCGATATTTCAGTCTGAAAATGTTAGTTTATACTGGTGACCAGATTTTTCAAAAGTAAAATCTGTAAACAAATTTATTTAAGGTTCCCTAAAAAAGACAAACAAACAAACAAACAAACAATTTTCCAGTTTCTGTTTTCATCCCAGTCCTTATATATATATATATATATATATACATACATACATACATACAAACATAACAGGTGTATTGCAGCAGGTGTGCATCCTATTAGCCATTTTGGCCTTTAGAAAAACGTTTTTTGAGGGTGTCAACTCCCAATAAATGTCATTTTAGGAAGTCTAGCCGCTCATTTTTTCTCAATACTTCTACTTTTAAGACTTTTACTCAAGTAATATTCATTGAGGAGACTTGTACTTTTACTCAAGTATCACTTTGAGGTACTTTATACACCAGTGCAATTCTGTTCTGTTTTTACCAGTCACAGCTGCAGCCACTCCACTTATCACTCAGAGTTTCTCAGTTTTGACTACATCCTCATTGTTTTATCTGTGCTGCCTGGTCCTGTTGGCCTCCTTCAGTAGCTTTTCTAAATAATTCCCACCACATCAGCCTTGTGCATGTGTGAGTCCTACCTCTACAAACCTGCAGGATATAAACTGTGATAATTTATGTGAAATATAAGTGAGCTGTTAGCACAGCTCCTATCACACCAAATTTAGTTATAGCTCAGTTATTGTTGCCACTTTTGTATTTGTTTAATGACAATATTACTGATTAAGAACCAGTTAATTTTTTATTTTCTTTCTGTCAGACCAAACGTAGAAAATGGAAACGCTCGTTTTCCTTTTTTATCTGCGGGGAGTCGATGCGAGCCAAAGATCTGTCAGATGGGCTGCAGTGATTAATGTGAGCGGTGTTTTATGTTGCAGTAAAGAGAAGTGAAATGCTGCTGACAGCTCGTGTTGAGGTGTTAATGTTGCTGAGTTTGAGTTAATCTCCTCATCCYGGCGTTATGGAAATAAAAAAACGGKAACGGAGTGATTTAGTGTCAGAAATGACCGAGTCAGTTTTTCATTTCCAGCAGGTAATAAAGAGCTGTGGGTTTGTCAGGTGATGTCAGCCTTTAATGAATCAGTGTCAACAAAATATCCCAGGGATGAGGTGTTTGTGAGGCTTTTGGCACAACACCTCACACTTTGTGCATCACAACTTCAGTTTGTAGCACCTAAAAAAAGGTTGAAAAAATAAAATAAAATCTGTCGGCTTCACTGCTGCAGGAATTAAAACATCTTTAAGATCAAGAGAAACAAACTGAACCAAAGGCTTTTATAAATAATGACTTCAAGTCTGACACTTCTATTAAAATGACATCAAAAATCCTCTTAGAGATCAGAATATTTAACGAGTATTTCTGTGTATTTTTATTTTTCCTTTAAAAAAAGGATTATTTAATAATTTGATTCTCTTAAATTCACAAAGACTTTTGATTAACAGGTTTTGGCTCTCAGAATCAGAAAACTGTGGAAATGTGGAATCCATGTCAACAAAAGGTGGAAGTTTATTTAATTTTTACCCCAAATATTATTGCAAAGTAACAAAGACCAAGGCTTGAGATATTGCTTTCTGCATTTTTATAACAGAAACTTAGAAACTCTGCTTAACAAGTCTTGATTTGTTGTTTTGGTGTAGAAATTAGTGTAAAATCCATGTAAATATGTCTGGTTTGTTCTGCCTTTTTTTTTCCATTTCAAAACAAAATCACAATAAATAAAATAAAAAATAAAAAACAATGTTTTTTTTTCATTTTTGAAACCTAGTGTAAAAATGTAAAATCGAACAATTTAAAAATCCACAGTGTATGATTTTTGCTTCAGCTTTATTAATCCAAACTATGTGGTTGTTGTTTTAATATGTAGCAATAAATGATAAAATGATAGATGGTGGATAAAGATTATTTAAAACCCAGAAACCGTTCCTGCAGATATTGGCATTGGCTGCACTTGAACCCTATTCCACTTTATGCAGATGACATTCTGTTTATTAAAGCCTTTTAAGTCCACAATAAATTATTTTAGAATCTGTTAGGCATGGCTCTCAGCTACCAGCACACTACGATTCAGATTAAAATCTGTAAAAGCTTCATGTTAGATTTAAAAATGACACTGATTGTTCTTGGCTACCTCCTTTCAGCTCAATATTTCAAATCTGAACTATTTAAATTAGCTTTGGTGTCCATCTTGGATTTTGTAGTTACATTCAGATTTTCTTAAGATTATTCAATTCAATTTTAAATTCAATTCAGAAATTTATTAATTTCATTACAAAATACTATATACAATAATAAAAATGAACCAAATATGTGTGTGTGTGTGTATATACAGTATACAGTGTGTGTGTGTGTGTGTATATAT